AATCAGGAGCTCAAGGTCCCCCGTGGCTATGTGACATGTTGGAGAGTAGTGTGTTCTACCTGAGACCCTGTCTCAATTAAGTAAATAAATAAATCGCTTCAGTTATTTTATTTATATGAGTACACTGTCGCTTTCTTCAGACATACCAGAAGAGCATCAGATCCCATTACAGATAGTTGTGAGCCACCATGTGGTTGCTGGGAATTGAACTCAGGACCTCTGGAAGAGCAGTCAGTGCTCCTAACCACTAAGCTATCTCTCTAGCCCAGTTTTTTTTTGTTGTTGTTGTTTTGTTTTGCTTTTATGTTTTTTGTTTTGTTTTTTGGCTTTGTTTTGTTTTTAAATGTCCTTTCAAGTATCTTTCAGGTGCTCTTGACATAAAAAAGTAAAACTTAATTTATTCTCAAAATGAGCAGGTGAATTTTTGTGATTTCTAGGTCAGTCTGGTCTACATAGTATGTTACAGGCTAACCAGGACTACACAGTGAGAACCTGTGGAGGTGGGGAAATCATCTAGTTACAATTTATATAGTTAGCTATTAAGTTCTATATTTTAGTTTACTTTTCAAAGGAATAAAAAATAAAATAAAGCTGGGGGAGCAACTCCAAAATCTGCCTTAGATACTCACATTCATAATACGTATGCACACCTTTTAAAGCAGGCATGTCAGGAATAGTAATTTTAGCACACAGTAAGTTCAAAGAGAAATGGAAAAGTAAGTAGCCAGGGCCGCACTACTCAGTTATTTCTCAGAACTCTGCAGACAGATAAAGTTCTGCCCTGTGGTGCTTTACAAACTGATGAGTTTACAAAAGATTTAGTCATCTAGAATTTCCCCAAAGGGCCATTAAGATAGTACAAACAATATTTTCCATGGTTACACAAATCACAGTAGAGTTCGCAACATGCTTGCTTCTCTGTCTTGAGACAGAGAAAGAGCCACAATAGATGGACATACTTTAACCATCATGTGTAGATTCCAGGTCCTTCAACCAAACTCCAGATTCCTTCAAAACAGCTTTCAAAATGCCAAGGTTTAGGGATGGAGAGGTGGCTAAGAGCACTATCTGATCTGCAAGAGGATCAGGGTTTAAGATGCAGGACCCACATGGTGGCTCACAACTGTGACTCTAGTTCCAAGGGATCCAGTGCTGCCTTGCCTCTTTTGGTACCAGGCACACACGTAGTGCATAGACATATATGCAGACAAAAACACAACACACACAATTGACAAGACTCTTATCGTACAAGCAGTATGACAACCTAAATAGTTCAACAGAATCAAAACACCTCAGAACTACAGACAAAGCCTGGTGCAGAAAATTTCCAAGGGGCAGACTTTCTCAAGAGCCCAATGCTGAGTCCAAATACTCATTTCTCCGCTTCATCATATAGAGGTAAAACAACCAACACAGCAGATGAGATCGGAAATGGGAAGATAGAAGTCCTTAGCTGGGCATCGTGGCACATGCCTAGCAGTCCGGAGGCAGAGGCAGGCAGATCTCTGAGTTTGAAGCCTGCCTTGTCTTATTTTCAGGACACCCAGAGGTTTGTAGATAGATCCTGTCCTCAAAAGATGTCTCTGGAATAAAGTGACCCCAGCAGCTACTTGGTACCACTCAGTCTGGCCTCTTCATTGAGAATGAGTGCTTGACTGTTTATTCTGCTTTGCCTTGCCAAAATGATCACTGTGCACGTTAGGGTCAGAGCTTGAGCCCTGGCATCCCTAACAAGTTAGGCTTGGCCCCCCATCATCAGATAGATATGTCAATTAGTGACAAAAAGCAGAAAAGGATTGATTGAGTGTGACCATACTGGAAACAGGCCAGTGCCACCCCAGTCTGTTTGGACTTTTGATGTAACGTGAGTCCTAGGTCAATAGAGAGTATGTATGTATAGCTAACTGATCACTCCTGGGCAAGCCGTGGCCCTGACTACTGTCATTGGCTCCAGTCTCCTGCAAGGTGGTTGGACAAGCTGTCAGAATTGAGATCTCTTTCTGAGGAGACAACCTTCTCAGCTTGGCACCTGAGACGCTCTTGAAGTTTGCTATCCCAGTAGTCTGATAGTAGAGTAGAGGAGCACACAGCTTACTTAGAGTCTCTGTGAGGATAGTTACACAGGGATTGTAGGCATGAGACAGCAGGCCTGGCCACACCTCGTTTTTAAATAGCTTTTCTGGATGATGGTAGGTATTCTTTGACGCTATACCAAAGCTTGGCAAGTGGTAATTTTTTGTGGTCCATGCAGCCTCATCCACGCTAGACAAGCACTCTGCCATTGTATTACATCGCTCACAAGATACGCGGTAATTTCCTAAAAGTGAGTTGCAAGATTGATACTGTAGTTCAGTAATACCCTAGGTTTTGTCCTCTGCACTAAGGGAATAGTTGCAAGGGCTTGGAGAGATGGCTCAGCAGTTAATAATACTGAGCGCCCTTCCAGAGCACCCACATGGCAGCTCACAGCCACCTGTAAATTCAGTGCCAGAGGATCTGATGCCCTTTCTGACCTTCACAGGATATTGCATACAGGTACTGCACAGAAATAGATCCATGTGAAAATAGTCATAAATACAAATAGTTTAAAAACTATTAAAAACTAATAAAATTAGTTGAAAAGAGAAATCTGAAGCTATATCAAAAGAATTTTTGTACTATTTCTAATTTTCTGTCTTACAGTTTTATTCTTGGCTGTACTGGGACTTGAACCTAGAGCCTTACACATAGTAAACCACTGAGCTGTTTTTTACTATTTAGTTTGAGGCAAGTCTCATTAAATTACTCAAGCTATTCTTGAATTCATATTATAGCCCAGACAGGCGTTGAACTTTTGTATCTCCATGCTTGGCTGAGACCCAGGGTTTTGTGCATGCTAAGCAGCCCTCAGTTCATTTTTTTTTTTTTTTGAGGTACCGGTCTCATGATACTGCCCAGATTGGTCTTCAACTTGGAATCTTCGTATCTCATCCTCCTAGAAACCAAGACTACAGAGATTACAGGCCTTTGCCACAAGGCCCTACTTTGAATTTTTTTAATTTATTGGATGGGGTGGTTTATGAGAACTCCAAGGACTCCTTTCTGGAGTTACTTCTCTCCTTTTACCATGTGGATCCTAGGATCAAACTCAGGTTGTTAGACTGGCAAGATAGCTCATGGTTAACTTCTGCCAAGCCTGATGACCTGAGTTCACTCCCTCAAGCCACACGATAGAAGGAGAGAACCAACTCCTGAAAGCTGTTCTCTGACCAACATACACATATAAAACACACACACATACACATGCACACACATGGGGTGGGGAGAGAGAATGAAAAAAAAAAAATTGAGACTAGCTCAGGCCTGTCTAGAACTCACCGTGTAGACAACACTGGCTTTGTGCTTCTCATCTGCTGCCTCCTCTCCTAAGTGCTGCTGTTACAGGTATATACATACCTCCTTGTAGGGCAAGGATTTTCTTAAATAGAATTTACCCTTCCTCCCCCCCAAAGTCCACAGCATTGACTGTAGTAAGCTTACCTCACAATTTGATTTGGGCAAAGACAGCACCAGTTATGCTTCCATGGTATTTTCACCACCATTGCAACTACTAAGATGCTAAAAAATAAAGTCAAATAGTGCCTTAACGTTATAGTAAAAATAATTTGGATCACATGGATTCCTGAAAGGTTGTAAGTGTGGCTCAGGAGCCATAAACCACACTTTTGGTGTTGACTTAAGTAAGTCATCTGACATGCTGGCTGTGATGTCACTTGCCCACATTCTCAGTACCCGGGAAGTGAAGACAGGAGGATCCAGAGTTGAAAGTCGTCCTCAGCTACACAGTGAGTTAATGGTCAGCTTGGGCTACAGGAGTTTTTGCCGAAAAGGAAAAGGAAAAAAGTTGCTGTCTATAAACTTTGATAGGCATTACATCATCTCACCATAGCTAGAAAACAAAAAGATTAACTCTTGCAATTCAATTTAGAGAAGATGCTGCTTAGTAGGAAAAATGAAAACTCCCAAGAGTGGGAGAGGTTCCCAGAGAGGAATACTTGCATGTGCCCTGCCCAGGGTTCTGATTAATTGTATTGTTTGTGTATGATGGGGAAGGGTGCATACTCCACTGCGTGTACTCAGAGGACAACTTAAAGTCAGAACCAGTTCTCTTGTACCAGAGTTCTGGTGGGTAGGCACAGTCATCCAGCTTTTATAGAGAGCACTTTGATCTACTGAGCCATCTCACAGGCCCTGCTGGCCTCTCATGTCTAGTGGAGGAGTTGGATTGAGATTGAGGAAGTCTTTATTGGAACTGGTCAGTTTTGAGCCAGTGGGGAGTTTACCTACTCTATACAGGTTCTTGGGGCCAACCAGAGAAACAGTCATGCCTACTCATACAATGCAGCCATGCTGCGAGTCATCATGGAGAGATGATTAACTCTCAGTTTCCTTCATACATTTTACAAATAGATACCCTTGTGCCTTGCTAGAAATCAGGGTGCATGTTTTGAACTGTATTCTTTAAATTATATTATACCACTGGGTCTGGTGATAAAAACCTATAATCCTAGTTACTTGGGAAATTGAGGCAGGAGGATCAAAAATTCTAGGTTTACCTAAGCTATGGAGTGAGTTTTGGACCAGCCTGGCCAATTTATCTAGGTACTGCCTCAGAATAAAAAAGGAGGGTGGGTGGGAGGGAGCCAGGTATGGTGACACTAGCTTGTAATCCCACCACTTGGGTGCTGGAGTCAGAAAGATGAAAAGGTCAAGGCCAGTGTAGGCTGTATAAGCTCCTGTCCCCCAAACAAAAGCATCTTGTAAACATTTCACTGTGGTGGTGTCTGTATATTAGCATCTGGGAGGTAGAGGAAGCAAGATTTTTCAGTTCCGTGCTTTCATGGCTACATAGTGAGTTCTAGGCCAGCCTGGATAACATGGCAAAACCACCATGTGTTAGAAAAAACAAACAGCAAGAAAACATACTACAGACAACTACTTCCCTTGTGTTTGAATTGCAGCTACCTGGAAACAGTCGTTTCTATGCATAAAGATGTCTCTGGTGGACTTGGGGAAGAGGCTGCTAGAAGCTGCAAGAAAAGGCCAAGATGATGAAGTGAGGGCACTGATGGCAAATGGGGCTCCATTCACCACAGACTGGGTAAGCTTAGCCAAGGCCCAGTGGTTTCCCACGTGCCATAACCAGTCCCCAAGGCTGAGCAGGCGTGGTGCTCTCCTCAGCTCCTGTGTCATTCCTTCTAAAAGAGCTTTATTTGTCTCACCACAGTGTATAGGTTCCTGTTAGTTTCCAATTTGAAAATTGTCTGTCAATATATAGGCTGAAATTGTAGCTGTTAAATACTTGGGATTTTTTCCCTTTTATTTTTGATATTTTTATTTGCAGATATGATGGTGCATACCTTGAACTTGGGAGGCAGGGGCAGGAAGACCTCTTTGAGTTTGAGGCCAACCTGGTCTACATAGCAAGCTCCAAGACAGCTGAGGCTACATGATGAGACCCTGTGCCAAAACACAAACAAAGAAAACAATTCCTAAAAGTTGTCCTCTGACCTTCATACACACATACCTGTGTATACATGCAGTCACAAACATGCAAATAAATATTACAGATACCAGGCAGAATGGTATACATCTTTAATCTAAGCACTGAGTTCGAGAGACCAGCTTGGTCTGCAGAGCAAGTTCTAGGACACCCAGTGCTACACAGAGAAAACAAAACGTTTGATATAATGAGCCCGTCAACTGCCTTGCAGACCAAAGAGCTCCTTTTTTTTTTGTTTTGTTTTGTTTGTTTTGTTTTGTTTTTCAAGACAGGGTTTCTCTGTGTAGCCCTGGCTGTCCTGGAACTCACTCTGTAGACCAGGCTGGCCTCGATCTCAGAAATCCGCCTGCCTCTGCCTCCCAAGTGCTGGGATTAAAGGCGTGCGCCACCACCGCCCGGCAACCAAAGAGCTCCTAAAGATTCCGGTCTGTGTAATAACGGGGGACGTCTTCGCACTCACAGATTCATAAGCAGTGACTGGTGGTCATAATGTTGATGATGGAGTGATGACTGTTATGGTAGGAGTACTTCATAACTTCAGGGTCCTACTGGTTCCCTTTTTTGTTTGTTTTGAGACAGTGTCTCTCAGTAGAGCCCTGGGTGTCCTGGGCCTCCATCTCACAGATATCTGCCCACCTCTGCTTCTCAATGCTGGGACTAAAGGCATGTGCCACCATACCCACCTCAGAATATTCTTTTTGATACTAAAAAAGAAAAGATAAGAAAACTATCTTGTGAGCCATGCTTAAAATCCTGTGTTCTAGTGAGTCTCACTCAGCAGCTCTATCTCACTTAAAATCATCATTCTTCACAGTTAATTTATGGCCCCATTACCTTCCCATTAACACTAAGTTTATTTAATTATGTTTAATGATGTACATATGAGTATGGCTGCATGGGGGTATGTGCATGTGAGTCCAGGTGCCCTTAGAAGTTAGGGTGTTGGATCACCAGCAGCTGGAATAGCAGCTGTGAATCACCAACATGGATATTTGGTTAGTACTCTTCCCCACTGTTCTCTGCAGCCCCAGTATATTAACTCTAAAATTCTATCTTTTTTTTAGTCTATCTGCCCAGGAAGATTCTTTCTCCAGGGATGAATACTACAGAATTCATTTCTTGTTCATGTATCTTTACCCAGAAATGATACAGTTCTTCACATGGTAGAACTCAGTGAGTGTTATCTCCCCACAGCTTGGAACGTCACCGCTTCATCTTGCAGCCCAGTATGGTCATTATTCCACAGCAGAAGTGCTCCTTCGAGCTGGTGTTAGCAGGGATGCCCGGACCAAAGTAGACAGGACCCCTTTGCATATGGCTGCGGCTGATGGACATGCGCACATCGTGGAACTGCTCGTTAGGGTAAAGCAGGAATAATGGCGGGGGGAGGGGGGGCCGGGCAGCGGTGATGCACACCTTTAGTCCCAGCACTCAGGAAGCAGAGGGAGGCAGATCTCTGTGAGTTCTTGGTCAGCCTGGTCTACAGAGCAAGTTCCAGGACAGCCAGGGCTACACAGAAAAACCCTGTTTTGAAAAACAAAACAAACAAAAGAATAGTAGTCGGACCATGCTGTAAGGCAGAAAGAAGTCTCTTTGCCTCCCATTTTTTCTTAAATAGTGGTAAGAAAGTGATCTGGAAAGATTTAGTGTAGATGGTTACTGAGTTGCAAATTTATTTATTTATTTATTATTTTACTCATGGAAACAATACTTCAGGAGTCATCATGGAGATGATTTTCTGATTTTTTAAAGGCTAAACAAATCCTATTGAGTTTTCTTTGTTCCTTTTCTGTAGGTGTTCTCTGTACTTATGCCTATTTTTTTTTCAGGCCCTACTCAGCTTTCTGCTAATAAATGCAACAAAATCTGTTTCTTCCCCTTTCTCAACCATCTGTGAGAATTTCCCAGTGATGTCCTTAGCAGACCCACTCATTGAAAGCGTAATGTCTCAGCATTCAGGAAAACTTAAGAAATGCTTCTCCCTCTGATAGTCCTTAAGTGAGAACTAAGTTAAATGTCTCCCTGTAAATCTGTTTGGTAACGGGATCCTATACGCATTGAGCAGTTGCTTTCTTACAACAGAGTGGTGCAGATGTGAATGCCAAGGACATGCTGCAGATGACAGCTCTGCACTGGGCCACGGAGCACCACCACCGGGATGTTGTCGAGTTACTTATCAAATACGGAGCTGATGTCCATGCTTTTAGCAAATTTGATAAGTCTGCCTTTGACATAGCACTGGAGAAGAACAATACTGAGATTTTGGTCATGCTTCAGGTATGTTCCTTTATATTCCTCAAAGTACATTAATTATAGATTATTTTGAGGGAACTGAATTTAAACAGAATTTCTCCCCATTTTAAATTCTAGCCTGTCTTGATCATATGGCTCTGTATTGGTACCTCTCTCTCATATTTTTTTTTTTTTTCAGTTGAGACAGGATCTCAAGTAGCCCAGGGTGACCTCAAGTTTTGAATGTAGCTAATGGTGACTCATCATTCTCTTGCCTCACATACACTGGAATTACAGATATGTGCTACCATGCCTGGCCTTTGTTTTCAGAGTCTTACTGTGAAGCCAGAGCTAAAGCTAGCCTCTCAAGTAGGCCTGGACATAGGGTTTGTTTGTTTGTTTGTTTGTTTGCTAAATCAGATTCTATAAAGTCCTGAATCATTCAGTGATTAGAAAACAATGTGGAAGTACTCAGTGCCGACATTGCAGAGCAGAGGTCCACACACCTTCTCTGGTTCTGAGAGCTGCCCAGCTTTCAGGCAGCTCCACAGTCCAGACAGCTTCCTTTCTGTGTCCTACTGCTCAGAGTCTCCTCCCCCACAACTCTTTGCTCCCGTTACTGTTCGTGGGCCCTCAAGAATCTTCCAGGCGTCTGTTCTTCTCTGATATGTGGGCTTTTGCTTACCTTCTATTGGACTAAAGGCTGCTCAGCTTCCTTCCTTTCTAGAGCAGATGTTCTGATTTAGAGAGAGGGAATGTTACAAATACAGAGGAACATGCCTTAAAATTCATGCACATATGTGCCCTGGAACACTAGTACACAACACACACAACAAATAAATTGTAATTAAAAACATTTTAAACCAGCTGTGGAAACATGTGCTTATAATCTCAATGTTGGGGAAGCAGAGACAAATAGTTCCCTGGAGCTTGCTAGCCAACCACCCTTGCTTACTTGATGAACTCCAGACCAGTGAGAGACCTATCACAAAAAAAAAAAAAAACAAGGTAGGTAGCATCTGACAAACTATACTCAGGCTGTTTTCTAGCTGCACGTGCACACAAATGTATCCTCCCTCCCACACATACATACACTAAGACACTCTCTAGACAGTGTGGTGCATGCCTATAGAATCCCACCATTTGGAGGTGGAGGTAGAAGGATTAGAAGTTCAAACTCACTGGGTGGTGGTGGTGGCACATGCCTTGATCCCAGTACTTGGGAGGCAGAGGCAGGTGGAGCTCTGAGTTTGAGGCCAGCCTGGTCTACAGAGTGAATTCCAGGACAGCCAGGGCTACACAGAGAAACCCTGTCTCAAAAAATAATGAGAAACAAAATCAAATTAAATTTAGGGGCCAGTGAGATAACTTAGTGAGTAAGGGTGTCTGTTGTGAAGCCTGATGGTCTGGGCTCATTCCCTGGAGCCCACATGTTAGAAGTGAGAGCCGACACTCACAGCTGCCTCTAACCTTCAGGGCTCTGCGTGCACATGCACATCAACTAAAAACATGCAGAGCAAGCATGGTGGTGCACACCTTTAATCCCAGCACGCAGGAGGCAGAGGCCGGTAGATCTCTGAATTTTCTTTTTCTTTTTTTTTTTTTTTTTTCCGAGACAGGGTTTCTCTGTGTAGCCCTGGCTGTCCTGGAACTCACTCTGTAGACCAGGCTAGCCTTGAACTCAGAAATCCACCTGCCTCTGCCTCCCAAGTGCTGGGATTAAAGGTGTGCACCACCACTGCCCGGCGATCTCTGAATTTTAGACCACCTCAGTCTCCATACTGAGTCTCCAAACATCTAGAGCCACTCAGAGAGATCCAGTCTAAAATAATAATAATCCAGTCTAATGATAATTAATTAATTTAAGAGCGAAAAGAGCGAAAAAACAACAACAAAAAAAAGAGCGAAAAGAATTTAATCAGGTCAGTGAACTGGCTCAGGTAAAGGTACCTGCCGAGTGTAATGACGTAGGTTTGCTTTTCTGGACCCACATGGTAGAAGGAGAGAAAACTGACTCTTGTCAATTGTTTTCTACCCCCCACATGCATAACCCCTCCACATACACACAAAGAAAAGTAATGTTATTGTATTCATTATTAAGAAAAAAAAATCGATGGGCGGTGGTGCCGCACGCCTTTAATCCCAGCACTTGGGAGGCAGAGGCAGGCGGATTTCTGAGTTCGAGGCCAGCCTGGTCTACAGAGTGAGTTCCAGGACAGCCAGGGCTACACAGAGAAACCCTGTCTTGAAAAATGAAAAAAAAAAAAAAAAGAAATCTATGCTAGAAAAAGTAGAAACAAAAAACAGATATGTGAAAGAACAGGAAAAGTAATTTGTGTAGAGAAGGAGCAATGGGCCTGGGATGTGGGGATGGCAGGTGCTTGTCAGGCAGGCTGGGTCTGTGTGTGAGCTTCTTACATGGCTAGTCATGTGCACTTAGTGAGATGGTAGTTTCTGTGAGCAGTGGGAACATACTAGAAGCTTTCTTTGTTTTGCTTTGCATTTTTTTTTTTTTAAGACTGGTCTCTCTGTGTAGCCTTGGTTTTCCTAGAAGTAGCTTTGTAGACCCAGCTGTCCTTAAATTTACCGAGGTCCACATGCCTCTACCTTCCGAGTGCTGGGACTAAAGCTGTGTGCCACTACCCTATACTGAAGTGGGGAGGGTTGTTTTTGTGTTTGTTTTTGAGAGGGAGTTGAAAGATGATCTTGCTGTGTGGTTTTGCTTCATGTGGCACTTACTCTGAAGCCCATGCTGGCCTCCAACTCAAGGTGATCCTCCTGTCTCAGTTTCTTTTTTTTTTTTTTTTTTTTTTTTTGGTTTTTCGAGACAGGGTTTCTCTGTGTACCCCTGGCTGTCATGGAACTCACTCTGTAGACCAGGCTGGCCTCAAACTCAGAAATCCGCCTGCCTCTGCCTCCCAAGTGCTGGGATTAAAGGCGTGAGCCAACACTGCCCGGCCTGTCTCAGTTTCTGAAGTTCTGGGATTACAGGTTTGAACCAACACATCTGGATTTAGAAACTTAAATCCAGGATTGGTGTGATTGTTTAAAAAGGTAATGGGAGATGGTACATTGGGTAGAGAAGACAATGCTAAGTAGCATGTGATTGCTTTCATTAGGCTGGGCAAGCCTGCCCGTGAGAGCTTCCACCAAGGAGACTGCTGGAAGTTAGAAATAGCAGACTGAAGAAAGAATTTAACAGTATCCGGAAAATGAATAATCTGCTTTAATTGAAGTTCTTAGTCAAGGGGATAATTACATATGAAAAATAGCTGCTTGTGCATTTTTGGGTTTTGTTTGTTTTTCATGACAGCTGGTTTTCCAAAGACTGGTTCTTCTCTTCAACTTTTAGTTATTGTTCAAAGTCCTTTTATAACTGGACTTTTTTTTTTTTTTTGGTAGTTTTCATGTTTGTAGAAAACTTCTGAAAGTAAAAAATAAAAGATAAGCATCTTTTCACCAAATTGAGCAGACATCCTTGGAAGTAAGAGTGTAGCATATGGAACTAGACTTCAAAATCTGCTACTCATTTATCTGCTTGTTATATGTTCTCTTAGGAGTGTCTTCAGTGGCAGAATGGAACACGTTGTAGGATAAAGCTCTAGAGAGTCTTTGCTCTGCAGGGATCTCCTGCTAGCATCTTGTCTTGTAGATAATTGATCGTGGAATATTAGTGCTACAAATTACTTTTACACTATGCAGACCAGTTCCTTCCCTTCATTTTTTTTCAAGTTAAAATGCAGAGCGGTTAAGTGTAGCATGTAGAAGGATCTGTGAATAATACACCTTTGCTTTCTCAAGTAGAAACAAGCTCGGGAAGCAAGCTAATACAAGTTGCTCAGTTTGAGAAAAGCTGTAGTGTTAATGAGAACTCTTAGCTCCCTGGACATCATGCTAGACTAGTTCTGCTTGATGGAGCTCGGGGAGGGGAGAGGCTGTGTTGTTCAGTGACTGTATGACTAAAGTGCACTGACTTTGAAATAACCTGCTTTGTTTGGCAGGAAGCAATGCAGAATCAGGTGAACACTAACCCCGAGAGAGCCAACCCAGTGGCCAACCCTGTGACAGTGACTGCTCCGTTCATCTTCACCTCTGGAGAGGTCGTTAACCTCGCTAGCTTTGTTTCTTCAGCCAACACCAAAGCAACCTCAGGTATAGTTCTGATAATGAGGCATTCGTTTTAGGCTTTTCCTAGACATAAATGGATATGTTTGATACCCACTCTTTCAAAAAATATTCCTCTAAAATGTTGGGATTAAAGCTCTGAGATAGAACACTTGCTGCATGTATAAGGCCATAGACTACATCTCTAATACCATAGAAAGTAAAAGTAAAGCATTCCTCATACCCTTGACTTTCAATGTAGACAATGAGCCTCACACACACCTGAGCTATGTTCACAGCCCTTCTTTTTTGTTTGCTGTTTCTTTGGTTTATTTAAGGCAGGGTCTCACTATATTGCAGGAGGGCCTTGGACTAATTCTATAGTTAATGCTGACCTTGAACTTGTACCAATCTTACTGCCTCAGCTTCTTAATTGCTGAGATTACAGCTATGAACCACCACAAACAAATTTATAATAACTTTAAAAGCCAAGACGTTCTTCTTCCTAACAAAAAAAAAAGGAAGATTGTGAGGAATTTTAATCAAGGGAGTAAAAATGAACAGTTAAAAACAAAATTTAAAAAAAATATTCTACAGATTTATCTGTCAAAAAGTTGTGCCTCCAAAAAGTTTTTTTAAATAAAGAGAGAAGGGTTATACCTTGCCAGACTTGGTGACACATGCCTTTAGTCCCAACAGTCCAGGAAGTGGATGTAGGAGGGTCAGGAATTTAAGGCTAGTGAGTACTACCGTAAACCCGTCTCAAAAGTCTCAGTGACTTGCTGCATACCTTTAATCTTGGCACTCGGGAGGCAGAGGCAAGTAGATGTCTCAGTTCGAGGCCAGCCTGGTCTACATAAAAAAACAGCAATTGAACAAACAATAACCAAACGGTTATGCTTTGGGCTAAGATCTAGCCTAGTTATTAAAGTGCTTGTCCAGCATGTACAAAAGCCCGAGTTTATTTTCCATTAACACAGAAACAGCTTGATAGCATATGTAATCCCAGCATAAAGAAGGTAGGAGCTGGAGAGTCTGAAGTTTAAGATCATCCTCAGAGGTTCAAAGTTAATTTAAGGGGAGAAAAAGCTATATCTGACCCTAAAATGAAAATATAACAGAATCTAAGTGTGGAACTGCTGAGGGAAATAATTAAATATTCTTGGTTTAAAACAGTAACAATCAAAATAAAATAAAAATTAGTGGCTATTGAAATATTAATATAAAAGAGATACATGTGATTATTTCAATAAACTTAATTTGTAAGCCAGGTAGTGTGGTGCCTCATGCCTTTGATCCCAGAACTTGGGAGGCAGAGGTAGACAATACAGAGTGAGAACCCCTGCCTTGAAACAAACAAACAAACAAACAAACAAACCCAAACTCCATTTGTTCATGAGCATATATGTTGTGTGTGTGCATGTGTGTGTGTATAGTTTGTGTTGTTTTTACTTTAGCCCTCATCACTGAGATTGGAGGGTTTAGGATAAATGTTTTATGTATGTACTTTATTTTAAGTATTTAAAGCAGAGAAAATACTTAGTATCAGTCAGTTGACACTTGCATGTTTTCTGGGGGTAGATGGAGTAGTGCTGAGACAAGGTCTTGTAGCCTAGGATGGCCTTGAATTTGTAGTCCCCCTGCCTCCACTTTCCCAGTCCTAGGATTACAGGTGTGTGCCACACACACCTAGCCTGACACCTGCATGTTTTAAATTCCAAAAAGGAGCAAATGAATTTATTCTTATCATTTTCTTTTATAAATATGTGTTCTGTGATGAGGAACTTGTATCCTCAAATAAATTTCTAATTCTTGGCTTAATTTTTCTGCTTCTGACTTTGAAAGATTAAAGACTAGGCTGGGTGTGACAGCGTGGGGAATCACACTGTAATCAGAGCTCTGTGAGTGTGAGGCCAGCCTGGTCTACAAAGCAGGTTCCCGGCCAGCCAGAGCTACTTAGTGAGGCAGTATTTCAAACAAAACAAACTAAATAAATAGTAAAGCATGTGGTATTATATTTCTGTACTCCCAGCATTCAGAAAACTACAGCAATAAGACTACCAGAAGTTCCAGACCAGCCTGAACTACATAATGAGCCTGTCTCCAATAAATAAATAGAAAATGTGTAAAAGCAAATGAACGAAAATAAATAACTGAACTGGGAATGTAGCTCACTCTGAGAGCACTTGCCCCTCAAGACACTGGGTTTAATCCTAGTGCCCAAGGAGGAAAGTTGTATCTCAAAGGAAGGATCTTAAATACATTACTTTTGAGAGGCAGAATGACAAATGATTTAAAAAAAAAAGCATATACATAAGCACAAACAGAATTCTGAGGTCAGGACTATACAAGGAGGCTGAAAAGATTGTTCAGTGCTTGAGAGTACTTACTGCTCTTGGGGAGGATCTGGATTTTGGTCCCAGCACCCTTTGTTGTGGTTCTCAACTGCCTGTAACTCTAGTTCCAGGCGATCTAATGCTGTCTTTTGACCTCTGTAGGCACCTGCTTGTACAGGATGCACATAAACCCATCTAGGCAGGCATGTACACACACATGTACACACACATACACATAAATAAATACAGTCTTGTAAAAAAACAAAAACACAGGACTGGAGAGATAGCTCAACCATGAAAGGGTAGCTCACAACCAAAGCATCAAGAAAAACATGGAACAAAAAAAGACTGTGCAGATGGGAGTCAACTGGCTGACTAGCAGCCTGTTGTTTGGAAAAGTCTAAGTCTAGTTTTCCCCTCTCTCTCTCTCTCTCTCTCTCTCTCTCTCTCTCTCTCTCTCTCTCTTTATTTTTATCTTCCTTTGGTTTTTCGAGACAGGGTTTCTCTGTGTAGACCAGGCTGGTTTCACAGAGCTCCACCTGCCTCTGCCTCCCAAGTGCTGGGATTAAAACCGTGCGCCACCACCGCCCGGCCAGAAATAACTCTTAAATGACACTCAGGGCTGGGGTGGTAGTCCTGAAGCAGGAAAGTCATGAGCTGGAGGCTGGGGGAGGAAAGGAGGGGACAGTGACAATGTGATACCCACCAGAGGGCAAAGTGAGCTTCATGTGTAATCTAATAAGTTATCTTATTTTGTTTGTTGTTGTTGAGACAGAGTTTAACTGTGCATAGTCCTGGCTGTCCTGGTACTCAGAGATCCTCCACTGCCTCTGCCTCCCAAATGCTGTGACTGAAGGTGTGCACCACTACCGCCCTGCTAACACTTGAGGTTTGTTTGTGGTTTTTTTTTTCCGTTCATTTTTTGACCTTTTCTTTTTTTTTTTTTTCCAGACAGAATCTCTATGGAGCCCTGGATGTCCTGGAACTTGTTATGTAGACGAGGATGGCCTCACACTAAAAAGAGATTGGCACACACCTTTAATTCCAGCACTTGGGAAGCAGAGGGAAGCAGATCTCTTGAGTTTGAGGCCAGCCTGGTCTACAGAGTGAGTTCCAGGACAGCCTGAGCTACTCAGAGAAAGCCTGTCTCTGAAAACAAAAACAAATAAAAGGAGGCCAGCCTAACCTAATCAGGGTACCCCTGAAATAGGTTTCAGGAGAACAAATTAGCCACTTCCGGGTAACAGCATCAAAGGCTGACCTCTGCCTTCCATGTGAGCATATGCTACCTACAAAAGAATTACCAACAGGCTGCAGGCTGTACTCTGGGTACTATCCAGCCCACTGCCCTTTTGCAATCTATTCAACAAACTGTTCTTTCCCCCCAAAATATAGTTATACATGTAAATAAACATCCATATATGTATATGTTCCTTTTTCTTTTTAAGATAGTCTCATTTAGCCTGGGCCTACCTGCAACTTGTATAGCCAAAAATAATCTTGAATTTTTGACCCTCCAGCCTCTATGTTCTGAATGCTGGGTTTACAGGTTTATGCCCCTCCCTGCTGGGACTAGAAACCAGGCCTTCAAATGTTCTAGGGAGGCAAACAGATACCAATAGAGTTGCATTCCTCAGCCCTGGCAGCTGCAACTGTTATATTGACTTAGTTCCAGCTGACAAGAAGTCTCATTATGGGGTCCAGGTCCATTGTCATAAGACAGGGCAAATAAGGCTGAATTTAGAGGAAGAGGTAATAAGTTGGTGCTTGCCATAATCTCTGAAATTATAAAGAAAGATAATGGGGACGTGAAATTCATTATGTAGAAAGTATACTTCTGCAGAAATGTTGAGTTACTTCATAAAGTTAGACCCATTTATCATCAGCACTCATTCACTAACCTAGATGTTTGCTGTGAGAATAGCATTCAGATACACGAGTAAAACACTACAGACAATTTTTTAAAAGCACACTACGTTATGATTAAAGTAGATAATAGTGGTTTACAAAGCATTACTCAATTGTGCATTGTTCGGTGTTTGGAATTGGAAACTTGAGGTATTAGCTATGGAGGTGCATGGTTACAGTCCAGCACTTGGAAGGTGGTAACAGAAGAATCAGAGTCCAAAGCCATGCTTGGCTACGTGGCCAGTGTGTGGCCAGCCTGTGCTATAGAAGACCCTGTTTCAAAAAGCAATAATAAATAAATAAAATGTAAAGTTTGGGGGAGATTTGTTTATTTGAGACACCTTTTCACTGTGTAGTTTAAGGTTGGCCTGGCTCAGCTCTGGAGTGCTGGACCACAGGTATTGCCAATCCCTGATCCAGCTTCAAAACTTGAGGCGGTTAAGCATGTTTGCTCTGTAAGTCTGTCCTTTTCTGTCATTATCTGCGGATGGACAGTGTGGTGGTCCACAGCCCAGGAGCAGCATTGTCCCCTCAGCATGCTCAGGTTGTAATGAGGCACGCTCTGTAAGCCTGCTTTCAAGGAGGGCTGCACAGGGGTCCTTGGGAGTGGGTGACACCACATTCTGCTAGGTCCTGGTCCTGGCACTGGCAGTGGAAATGTAGTAGGCTGTGCCAAGCACATTGAATTAATCTACTGTTGTCAAAGTCTCTTTAAACCTTAAAGGATTTAAAAAAATGTTTAACGTTTATTTTGTGGAGGGAGTGGAACATGCTGAAGCACATGTGGAGTCAGAAGACAGGTCGCAAGAGGTGGCTGTCTCCTTCCACCATGTGGGTCTGGGGATCAAACTCAAGTCATCAAGCTTGACAGCAAGCGCCTGCTGAGCCATCACAGCCGTAAAAGAATTTTAACAACACAATTGGATGAAATCAATTTGGATTAGGAAACAAAATAAGGATGGGGTAAAGGCCGAAGGTTTGGTTTCCTTTGCCTCTTCTTTCCACTAGACCTCATTTTCCCTTTCTAATGGATTCGGTGACCCTGTGCTTTGGCATTGCAGGGGTCAAATCCCACCACCACAGGACTGGCCACACTTGCACACTCACTCAGGCATCAGCCCCTTCCTTCTGCAGCTCACACAGAGCCACAGCTTGGTGCTCAATCTGCTGAATGAATTAGTTTCTTTTGTTTTTAATTCTTCAGCAGTTTTAAATTATATGAAATATCAACTGTGCTGGGCATGATGACACACATTTTAAATTCCAGTAATTGGGAGGGAAAGGCAATCAGATCTCTGTGAGTTTAAAAGACAGCCCGGTTTACAGACAGTGTTCCAGGACACATGGAGAAACCCCATCTCAAAAAAAGGCAGGCAGGCAGGCAGGCAGGAAGGAAGGAAGGAAGGAAGGAAGGAAGGAAGGAAGGAAATGAAATGAAAAGAAAAATAGGAAAAAAGAAAAAGAAGAAAAAAAATATTGAAATCCACAATCTGATTTCTGCTACCTTCTCATGGTTATACCACGTGTGCTTAAGCGTTGCTGGGAGTATAGTTCTGGCATTTCCTGTGGAGTTGGGCATATAGTTGCAGAACACCCTGCTGATAACTAAAACAGTAAGTTTTCAGGGGCTAGCAATGTGGCTCAGCAGGTAAATGATCCCACCAGGCCTGACAACCCAGGAACTCACATGACAGATAGAGAACCAATTCCCACATGTCATTGTGGCCTCTGGGTGCACTACACACTCACAACGTTAAAAAAAAAAAATTAAAAAATGTAATGTCAAGTTACATACCCAGTGAAAAGTTACATAGCTTCTGAGAAAAATCTTAGGAATTCGTTTAGCTAGGGTAAGATGATTGGAGGAAGTATTCTATAAGCCCTGGGAGGGTCTGGTTGCCTGCTCTTTCATTAATGATAGCCAACTGTTATGACATATTGGCATATTCTTTTTTACTATATTACTGTATTTTTATACCTCTACCTTCCAACCCTTATTCCATCCTAATCTCCTCCAACCCCCAACACTAGGTAGGAGAGAAAGAAGTTAGAGGGGAAAGGGGGCGTAGACCTCTTTTGACTACTTCCTTCTGATTATAGGGGCATTGGGATCCTTAGGGGCAAGTCCGGTCTTCATCTCAGGACATCTCCAGCTCCTCATCACCACAACAGCAGCACCTGGGAGCCCACTGCCATAGGACCTCTTGGAGCTCTCTTATTTATCCAGTCCCCAGAATTAAACTATCTGCAGCTGGCAAAAATAACACCACTGCTAGTGCACGAGACAAATCATAATCATCTGTGAAGCAGCCGCTTACCCAACACCTGGGATTAAAACAAGCACACATCCACATAACATAACTGGGTTTTAAAGGAAACCAAAACTCTCCCTACAGTGATGTCATTCTTGCATTGACATTTGAGGGATGAGAACTTCCCTTCGCTGCCAGTCATTCTTAAGTTTTATATGCATGGGTGTTTGTTTGCCTGCATGCCTGCATCCCGTGTGTGTGCCAAGGAGGCCAGAAGAGGGTACAGATCCTCTGCAACTGGAGTTGCAGCAGTTGTGAGTAGCCACCATGTGGATAGTGAGAACTGAACCCAGGTCCTTTCTAAGAGCAGAGCAGCCAGTGCTCTTAATCACTGAGCCTTCTCTCCAGCCCCACTAGCCATTTTTCTTACCAGTACTAACTCCAAAGGTGGTAGTGACATTTTTAAGAATTCTGGAATTTTGATTTCTTTAAAAATATGGGGGAGGGGGCGGTTGGGTGAGGAATACTATAAGAATGTGCTTTCATTTTAATCCTAGGTGTGGGGTGGTGTGCTTAGGACTGACCAAAGCAGCTGACCATGACTTACGCCTCATGTTGTAGCAGAAGTGTGGTTTGCCAGCTGTAGAATGAACGTGAGGGCCCTGAGAGGTGGGGTGGAAGGCTGTTGATCATTAGGGAGGCTAGCTGTAGTTTGTTAGTAGCTGTAGTCAAAGAAGAAACAAAGGGAAAGAAATTAGATTTTTTTTTTTTAAGATTTTGGATTTTTCCTCTTTCCTGTCTCCTGTCTATCCTTATTTCTCTCCTATCCAATGTTAGAGGGTAAAATGCACACACATGTGTGTGTGTCCATGTGATAAAGGGTGGAAAAAAGAACCTGAACATAGCCAAGACTGGCTACAGAAGGTAGTTTCTCAGGCTGGAGTGATGATGCACACCTTTGAAGCCGGAAAGATGCAGGAGAAAGATGCAGGCAGGTCTCTAGCCTCTGTGAGTTGAGGACCACATAGACCCTGCCTCAAAAAAAAAAAGTTTTTTACTTGGATATGTACAAGTTAGTGGTGTAGAAGAATATTAAGAGAAACATACTGTGGAAAGCTTATCCTTACTATTTTGGCTTACTCCCTGGTTTGGGGTAAATCACTTACATTCTCCAGGCAGTGTCCTCATCTGGCATGGAGGTGGTTTTAGGTTTCCACCATAACATTCAACAATTCTTTGTGGTTTCTTTGGATCGGAATCATTTGATTGTTTTGTTGTTTCTGAATTAGGATCTCAGAACTCTGAACTCCTCATTCTCTTCCTTTACCTCCCAAGGACAACTATAGGCGCATGCCACCACTCCTGGTTATTCTTCCTTTCTGTGAGTCACAAATAGTTAATTTTCATTGAGCTTCCTCGCTGTGTCTCCTATGAATGGACCATGCCACTTACTCAGAGTTCTTTGTGACTTTCAGACTGTGTGACTCCTGCTACAAAGCAGTTCAGGAGTGGCAGGCAGTGCATAGCCTATGTATGGGTTATTGACCAGCCAATGTTAACTGTGCACTCACATATATAAACCTCTCAGGAATGTAGCTGGAACACAGTGAGCACTCTGTAGTATAGCTCTTGTTCATGATTCTGTGTCAGGTGGGAAAAGCCACCTTCCATGCAGCCTCTCTGTTCAACTTTAACCCATTGATTATTTGCTGTAATGTTTTATTGGTTCACTATTAAATCTCCCATATTCTTAAATTATTTATACTAATTTTGTTTTTTTTTAAAGTTTTTTAGATTTATGTAGACTTTCAAGATATTACCTGAAAAAGGACTCTAAGTTCTCAGGGAAATGCAGCCTATCATACTGTAGGGAACATCCCAAAGCTCATTACCCTGTTAAAAATGATGATTGATACTGGCCCCTAAACAAACAATTTGACACACAGATGCAGGCTAGGGTGTTGCTCACATGAGTTCGTACCTAGCTTTCACAATGTCCTGGGCTTCTTCACCAAGACCATGTCAATTAGGCATGGTGGCTCACACCTATAATTCCAGCACTTGGGAGATAGAAGCAGGAGGATCATCCTTAGCTACGTAGTGACTTTGAGGTTAGCCTGAACTACTTGAGACCCTGTCTCCACTGCTCCTAAAAAGTATATGTATAGCTTAGTTTTCTTTGAGACAAGGTCTCATATAGCCTAGGCTGACCTCAAACTCCATATGTAGCTTGGAATTTGAGATCCCCCTGCTTTTGCCTCCTGAGTAAGAGGATTGCAGTTATACCTGGCAAGTTTAAGTGTATTTGAACTAACATTTCAAAATGTATTTATGCATAGGACCTATCTCTTTTTTTATTTATTTATTTTTTGAGAGTTTGTTTCTTCAAATAGAATCTCACCACATAGCCCAGGCTAGCCTAGAACTCATGGTGAGTCCCCTATCTCACTCCTCTGGGTGTTGTGATTACAGGGTATGCTACCCCATTGAGCCCTAGAACCTATCTTTATTGAGCACTGTTACTATCTTAGGATATTTTCAGAAAATACTGTTCTAATGAATTCCTTGGCTTATTTATAAAAGCTTTTCTGAACAGTTATTGTTGCTCAGTCCTATAATCCCAGCACTTAGGAGGCTGAGGCAGGTTGAGCAGCCTGGGCACAGAGTAAGGCTCTATCTTAAGAACTCAACCAGGCTGGGTGGTGGTGGCGCACGCCTTTAATCCCAGCACTTGGGAGGCAGAGGCAGGTGGATTTCTGAGTTCCAGGCCAGCCTGGTCTACAGAGTGAGTTCCAGGACAGCCAGGGCGACACAGAGAAACCCTGTCTCGAAAAAAACCAAAGGGGGGGGGAAAAAAAAACCTCAACCAATTTTTTTTTTCTTTTTCATAAATACTTTCAATAGTATCTCAAAGAAGATGATGTATTCTTCAAAGAGAAACTTGTATTTCTTTGTTTTAAATAAACTTGATGTTTTAAATTTACTTTTGTTATCTCTAGCTAATTTAGAAGAAATTGAAGAAGGAAATTCTCTTGACTCCTCAATCCAGCAAGTGGTGGGGAGTGGAGGCCAGAGGGTCATCACCATAGTCACTGATGGAGTCCCTCTGGGTAATATCCAAACTTCAATCCCTACTGGAGGCATTGGCCAGCCGTTTATCGTAACTATGCAAGATGGACAGCCAGGTGAGTTATACCCAGTAGACAACTGCTTACTTAGAGAGATTCTAGATCTGCCATATTCCCCTAAAAATGAGGCATTAAGACAGATTGCAGGGGGGCTGGAGAGATGGCTCAGCGGTTAAGAGCACTGACTGCTCTTCCAGAGGTCCTGAGTTCAAATCCCAGCAACCACATGGTGGCTCACAACCATCCGTAATGAGATTGGATGTCCTATTCTGGTGTGTCCGAAGACAGTGACAGTGTACTCATAAATAAAATAATAAATAAATCTTAAAAAAAAAAAAGAAATGAGATTTTTTTTTAAAAAAAAAAAGACAGATTGCAGGAGTGGGGGAGAGCCCGGAGAGGATAGAACAAAGAAGCTCTGCGAAGAAACAGTCACCAGGCTCCCCAGACTATGTCAGTTTCCCTAGGAGATAGAGTTTGTGAGTGGAACTGAGTCCTCTCGTCCACACTCACGCACAGGTGTGCATGCCTGTGGGATCAGCACAGGGAAGGGTGGGCCACCTGGGGCTGCACAGAAAGACATCTCAAAAAACAGATCAGAAGGCACAGTAGACACTGGGCAGTCAGGTACTCAGCACCAGGGAGGCAGAGGGAGGAGTATGGCTGCAAGTTTCAGGCTAGCCTGATCTAGTGAGTTCAGGGCCAACCAGGGATGCAGAGTGAAAGAACAGATTGAGAATGTACTCAGTTTGTAGAGTGCGTTTGTACCCTGCAAGAGAGCATCCTCCACCAGTCAGAGAGACACTTCAGGAGCCAAGCCTGCCCACACCTTGGTCTCCAACTCCCAGCCTCTAGAAAATGGATTTTGTAAGGAAAACAGGCTACCGTGCCTACGGTAGGCACTGTCATGTTGTGTAACAACAGTTGTAGCAGGTGACTACAGGACGATACCTGCTGGGTGTGCTGTGCACTCGTACAGGGAGATGATCCGTGTCTAGAGAACACTCACGTGCAAGCCTGTACTCTGCACAGTAACTCAGTGTAACCTAACTTTAACGCCAGAACCTGTTCCCATTGGAGCTTTGAATCCTTTTGTAGTCAGACAGCTACAAGTTGTCTGTAGTACCACTGTCAGAATCTCCTGTGTCAGCAGGTAAGGTGGCTCATGCTGTTCCTTCAGGTTCCCTCCCGCCTGGGCCACCTTTCTGGTTTCTCTGTGCCCCTGCATATCACCTTTTGACTTGAAGCTCATGTCCCGTTGTTTTGGGTTTTGCTTTGTGAGATGGTCGGGGTCTTGCTTGGTAGCCCTGCTGTAGACCAGGCTGAGCTCAAGTTGAGAGATATGCCTGGGTCCGCACTGAGCACTGGGACTAAGTGTGTGTGCGCAGAGAGCTGAGCCTCCAGACGTTAAAGAGATATCACAGACAGTATCGGGGAATGCAGTGTGACTAGAGACCCTGGAAAACAAGTCAAGGGGAACGGGGTGTGTAGCAAGAGGCCCATTTTTCTAATATCTCCTGCAACAGGGGTGTGGCTTGGTGGTAGAACAGTTTGCCTTACAAGAAGCCATACCCAGTATATAATATTAAATTCACTTTTCTCTACTTAAAATCAAAGAAGCCTTCTTTGTATATTGTGTGTTCATTTTCTCCCACTGGTGTGCTTTGGCTTGTAGTTCTAACTGTGCCTGCTGGTCAGGTTGCAGAGGAGGCAATAATTGAAGAGGAAGAGGAAGAAGAGAAAGTGCCATTGGTGAAGAGACCGAGGATGGCAGAGATGACAAACAGTGTTGAGGAAATGAAGGTAATGAATGAGTTCTTACCAGTGAGTGAGAAGGGGAAGGAGGGAAATGGATGCTGTGGTGATGAGGGCTGAAGCCCTCTTCATTTTTTCTGTCTTCCATGTGGGAAGTCCATGCTCAGGGATTCTTACTGTGGTGGCTCTGTTTGCTTTACAGGAAGGCAGTGAGCGAGAGATGCTGCAGCAGCAGCTCCAGGAGGCCAACCGCAGAGCCCAGGAGTACAGACACCAGCTCCTCAAGAAGGAACAGGAGGCAGAGCAGTACCGCCTCAGGCTGGAGGCCATGGCTCGGCAGCAGCCCAACGGAGTTGACTTCACCGTGGTTGAGGAGGTAGCTGAAGTGGATGCTGTCGTGGTGACAGAAGGAGATGAGGTAGAGAGAGCAGCGCAAGTGATGAAGTCAGGAAGGACCACAGAGCCTCACCCTAGTGTTTCCATAGAAACTGTTTCATCCTAACACCCAACAGGCACAACTTGGCCTCACTCATCTTATTCTTTGTAAGAAGAAAGTACAGAGGGCAAGTGCTGTGTACGAACTAGAATGTCCTTAAGAAGGTGACAATGGCGGGGCTCAAGGCCTGTGTACGAACTAGAATGTCCTTAAGAAGGTGACAATGGCGGGGTTCAAGGCCTGAGCCTAGGAAGGCTGTGCGTGCAGCTGGAAAACTCAGAGCCACTTTAGGGGCATCTGAGAGACCAAAAGGCCAGGACCAAATCTCTCAGCTCATATTGCTTTAAACAGAGAACTGGGCATTATGGGTTGATTTTTTTTAAATAGTTAGCTTTATATCAAAAGATTTTAAGATAATACTTGTAATACATATACACCAAGAACCTTTAATGATTATTCCTGAAAATTTTCAAGTGACCTGAAAATTTGCCTTAGATTTATGAAACTGATGAAGTTGTAGGAAGCCTCCTCTTGAAGAAGAGTGAAGGATACCATACATTTCTAAAGGAGCAGGCACACAAGTTCTCCCTAATTACCGAAAAGAAATCTCTAGCCAGGTAGTACACACCTGCAATGCTAGCACTCGGGGAGCTGTAACAGAAAGCTTTTTGAGGTCAACCTGAGCTAAAGAGAGTCCTTCAGTAAAAGAGGCCCAGATGTGGTGGCGCATGCCTTTAATTCTAGCACTCGGGAAGTAGGCACAGGCAGAGTTCAAAGCCATGTGGTCTACATACCAAGTTCCAGGCCAGCCAAAGCTACACAGTGAGACCCTGTCTCCAAATGAAGCAGAACAAAGCTGGAGTGGAGAGGTGGTGGGTTAGGAATTTAGCTCGCTGTTCCAGAGAACCTGGCTTCTATTCCTAGCACCCGAATCAAAGCTGCTCACAATTACACGTAACTCCAGCTCCCAGGGAACACGCCCTTTTCTGACAGGTGTGGATGCCCACAGATAACAAATTTATATATACATATAAATAAAAATTGTAAAAATTAACAACAAAAAAATTAAATTAGTTGAATGCAGTGGTTCACACTTTGGGAACCTGAAACAAGAAGATTGACATGAGTTTGGAGCTAGCCTGAGCTCGATAGTGAGTTATAGGTCAGCCTGGGCTACAATGTGAGACCTTAATGCAAGAAAAAATCAAGTGTAGTGGTGTGTACCTCTAATTCTAGCACTCAGACGGGAGAGGCAGGAGGATCTCTGTGAGTTTGAGGCCAGCCTAATCTACAAAGAGAGTTCTGGTATAGCCAGGACTACATACAGAGACACTGCCTCAAAAATAAAAAATTAGCAAAGAAGGGCTGACTTATGATTGCCTGATAAATTGTGTGTCCACAGCTTAGATACAGTATAAAAACAAAATTAAAATAGGCATAGTGGTGCATTCTGTAACCCCAGCAATTGGAAGGTGAACCAGATCACCGTAAATTAAAGGTCAGCTTTGGCTTCAGTAAGATCTTTCTCAAAAATAACAACAAAACCCAGAAAGGCCTACATGTGGTGACGAGGCTCTCTCTTCCCTGCACTTGGGGAGCAGAGGCAGGCTGTAGGATTCTAACTAGCCTGGCCACATGGTCAGTTCCAGGCTAGCAGGATTACTCAGACCCTAACAAGGAACGGAGGGAAACCAACCCTGAGGACATAGCTCAGTGGTAGAGCGTGGTGCTTAGTGTGCAGGGAACCCCTGGGTTCATCCTTTGGCACTGTACATATGCAGCAAGAGGAGGGCAGAAGTGCAAAGAAGAAAATCATGGACACCAGACTTAAAATCAGGAGAGAGCTGTGCTGATGTGGACAGCGAGTGCAGAGCTCTGCCTTCCAGGCTGTGCTTCCAGAGCACAGAAGGCAGCCAGAAAGAGGCTTTGTGCCCCGAGTCTCTGGTCTTGAGATGGAAACTATATATTGGTGAACTTTATAAAACTGCAACCAGGAGGATCAGTTTCAAATTTCTTTAATTTTTGTCACTGTAACAATAACTTGCTTCCAAACATCTATTTATATAAAATCAAGCTCTAAACTCTTGAAATTGTATAACATTTGGCCAAATTTTCTATGTCACATGGGACACTGGTGCTTTCTGTAGCACTTAGCATCCTGTAAAAAACCGAGGAGTGTGGCAGACATGAGGACTGAGCAGGCTGGGGAGGTTTGTCCCTGTTTGATTTTGTGTGAGTACATTGCTGCTTCTATTAGTGTGGCCATGGAGTCTGTGCCCTATAGTGCTCAGGTGACAATGGGACCAGGTCTCACTGCCACAGAGCAGGGAGCCACACACCCAGGACTCCCCTCCCCTCACTCTGCACATTCCCTCTGCTCAGGCACTTTTGCAAAGATTTTCAGTGCTGGGTTTTTGAGAAAGGGTTGGGGCAGGTCTCTCTAGCATGAAGTGTATGTATGTGTTTGTATAGCTGGACACAGTACTCATGCCTGTTAGCAGTCAGGAGCTACAGGGGGAGGATTGACAAGAGTTCAAGGCCAGCCTGAACTACACAGTGAGTGAACCTGTCTCAAAACCACAAAAACAAGACAGCTGAACATTGTGTCTCATGCCTGTAATTCCCACTCAGAGGGTCACCGGATCTTCAAGATGAGACCTCTAGGCAGTACAGTGAGGTTCTGCTCTAGGGCGGCATGTATGTCATTTTATGAGGTCCTAGATTCAATCCCCAGGACTGCAAAAAAACAATATTTAAACATTTTTTAAACAGGGTGTGATAGTACATGCCTATAATCCCAGAACTGGGAGAGGGAGGCAAGAGGTCAGAAGTCGAGGGCCATCCTTGGTGATTTATCAAGTTTGAGGCCTGCTTACACCCTGTCTCCCCAAAGTGGGAGAGGAATAAGCGCGCAGAGAGGGGTTGGGGGGTAGGTATTGTAGACCTGCTTGCTTTATTGCAAATTAGAAGAAACCAGATGGACATGTGCCAAGTACACATTTGAATGACTGTTGAGAGTATGGTTTCCTAATTAGTGATCATGAAGAAGACATGCATTTTTAACCTGGAAAAGCTTGGCAGTTAACATGGTTCTATTTACCTTGATTAGTGAAATAATTTGTTGCAGTGTTCCAGAGGTATAGAATCATTTTTGGCTCAAAATAGGCTGAAAACATAATTCTCCAAATCACATTTAGCAGAACTGACTATTAGAGATTTATAGGCAAAAATAATCATTTTGAAATGAGATTTGATCGAGGGAGGAGCTTCATCTGCAGGGGAGTCTTCTGTCTGCAGAGCCCTTCTGACTCCCTGGGGCTGGGGTGCTAGCAATACGCTGTTGTGGGTGCCATTTCAGAGCCTTGGTAACTAGAGGGAGCAAGTTCCTTTGTAGGTGGCTTTTGTTTATGTTCTTAGAGCATATGTTGACTTCAATTCCCTTCCTTCTTTTAAAGGAATAGATGCTAACTCTGCAGAGGATACCATGCCTAACCACCTCATTATCTTGAGTAGTAACTGTGGGGATGGGATCTGGTCCATCTAGTCCTCCCTTCTGAGCAGAGCTTCTTTCTACCCTTAGGGAGGACCGTTTAGTTGTTCCAAGTCACTTGAGATGGGTAGTGTCAGGAAAAAAGGTTCCCTTCCATTTACTTTAATAGATGCCTATCATCTCAAAAAGGAAGTAGGCTTTGCTTTCGGTTAGACTGCAGTGAGTGTGAGAGGGTGTGGAGAGGGTGATTTCAGTCAGTTAGAGGTTAAGTACTGAATGGTCAAGCACAGAGCAACATGTGTGAAGCCTCAGCACTGAGGAGGAGGCCATCCTGGGCTACAAGAAGACAATGTCTCAGAAACAAAAGATGGGGCTGGAGAAAAGGCTCAGTGGATAAAAACACTTGCTATATATAAATTTGAAAGCCCAAATTCAGATCCTAGTACCCACTCTAACAAACCAGGCGTGGTCTCTGGTGTACCTGTAACCCTAGTCCTCAAGAAGGACAAGGCAGGAAAATCACTGGGGCTTGCTGGCTGCCAGCCTCACCAAAAGGGGGAATTTCAGGTTCAGGGAGAGACTATGTCTCAAGTGAATAGGCAGAATGTAATGGAGGAGAACACCCAATGTTCCCTTCTACCCTCTGCCATGGACACATACATGCACATACACCACACTCATGTATATACAGCACACACAAACACACAAATAAGTAGAAATTAAGTATTGAATACAGTAATACCATTTCATAACTTCACATAACCTTCCAGGTCAGCCTTTTTTGTTTGCTGCTTTTTTAAAAACTGAGCTCCATTCTGTAGCCCAGGCTGGCCTCAGACTCAGGGCAACCTTGTCTCAGCCTCTTGAGTGCTAAGACTATAGGTGTGAGCCGCCTCATCTGGCTTGGGTCGGTTGAGAAGATGACTCTTAGATCTGAGTTAAGACATCTCAGCAGATAAGTGGAGCTGAGTCAAGTAGCAGAGGAGGTGTTCAGAGCTGGGGCTCGAGCAGGGAGAGCAGCAGCTTAGGACTACAGTGAAGCTGCTGCAGGATTACCAGTGTTACGTCATGGTGCAGAGGAATGCAGTTCATTGTAAACCCTACATTTGCAGTTTGGTTGTAAGTCTTTCACCCCAAAAGAGAAAAAAATGTTACAATTTCTGTTCTTCCTGGCTTCAGGAAGTTCATGACAAATATGTAAATGTGCCTTCCCTCCGTGTCTCTGCCTCTGCCCTCCCCACTCCCTGCATTATTGCAGTGCCAGAGCAGAGACCTCATGGCTGACATAGGAAAAAGCAGCTTTATGGGTTTTTTGCTCTAAACTCTGTGCCTTAAAAGACACTTTTCTGTCAGATGTATATTTACTTTTTTTGTTTTGTTTCTAAACAGTCTTACTATATAGCTCTGGCTGCCTGGAACTTGCTTTCTAGACCAGGCTGGCTCAAATGTATAAAGACTTCCCTGCTTCTGCCTCCACCTCCCGAGTGCTGGGGTGAAAGACACCTAGCAACAGGCAGTTTTTAGATCCCTTTGCTGGGTGCATATTAGTGTATTTGTATGTAAATACATAATGGATCTCTCAGTTTTCTCTTTGAGGTTCAGCTCTAAATTATCTGGGATAACCTGGAAGCTTACTAATTTACATAGAGAGGGTCTCTCTGAATTCCCTTAATCCAAAGGGGGAGGAGCACATGGGATGCTGGAAGTGTGGAGCATTGAGTAAGGATCGTTGTGGGAGTAGAGGCCCAAGGAGATGGTCCATGTTTATGAGGAAGCAAGCAAATAAATGCAAAGGCACCATGGTCTGCACAGGGACAGGGGTCTGAGTGAGCTGCCCTCCATGGCTGGTGGCCTTTTCTGCCTGTTGACGCCACCTTGGCACATAGGGCACATACCTTTAATATCAGCACTCAGGAGGCAGAGACCAGTGGATCTCTGAGTTCCAGGCCAGCTAGGGCTACACAGTGAGACCTTGTCTCAATAGGAAATGAAAAGCCCTTTAGCTTCCAGACAGGAAAACGCAGATGAGGGGCTGTGGATGGACAGAGGCTCTGCATTCCTAGCTCAGAATCTCATGTTGAGAGATAACTCATTCTGAGAATGCTGAAGTGGTCATCCCCTAACGCCAGCCACTTCGAATGTTGTAAGAGCAGAGGCACATGATGAACTCTTATCAGAAGTTCCTAACAGTGAGCAGGAGTCACTTTTCGTCCCAGTTTTTTGGAGACTAGTTTACTGTTCTCTACTTGAGCACATGAATTTACGCCAAGGTTGCCAGCACGCACTTTAAGCTCTTATCTCTATTTTGTGTTTTGTTTTCCTTCTTTGAATCAGGGTCTCACTGTAGCCCAGGCTAGCCCAGGACTCCCAGCAATCCTTATGCCTTAATCTCCCATGTACTAAGATTACAGGCTGAGCCATCATGCCAGAGTGGCTCTAGCTCCATTCACCATGGTGCCTCTACCCTTTTTGGAGTGTGTACTCCATTTCCTGTCACTCTGCTTACCAAGAGACCAAAAGCAAGAAGGATATGAATTAGAATTAAATAGGCCTGAGCCTCTGGTGCTGCCCTTTCTAAGGTTTTAACCTCTCTCGGGTTAGGGGGAGGAAGAGAATTCCTAAACTCTATACAAGTAATTAGGCTTGGTTATAGCAGGAAATTGTGAGCCTCTCTGTCTCCCCTGCCCCTGCCCCACTACTGTTTCTGCCGTCCCACGGCTCTTGTATTTGGAAGGCTTTGCCAGGCACTGGAACATAATTAGTCGGTCATCTCTAATCTGTGGGACTCACCTTTCCTTTCTCTCCTCCTTCCCAACCACATATTTTGTTCTGAGGTGGTTTGCCTCTGAGAACTAACTGGGTTATACCCTATATTCTATATTCCCACTTAGTTTCTGACATCTTGATATGTCAGCTGTTACAGTAGCACCTCTGCTCCCTGGCCTTGCCCAATGTGTCTTTCTGCCAAGGCCATGTAGAGGTGGGTGCCCTGGGATTCTTTTTACAGTGTCCTCTTGTTTTCAAGTTGTCTGGCAGCTTTATGTACAGTAAACTTTCAGGAAAACAAAGGTTTCTTTTTTATTTAGGATAAAATAGTAGGATTCTGATGAGCAAGCTCATATGTACATGTGTGTGGATGAGCATCTGTGTAATGTGCCTATATAGATCTATATTATATATACAGTTTTGTACTGTCGTTTAAAATAAAGACATTTCTTAATAAAATGTTGGTGTTGTTGAATTCTTTACACCTTGGTAAGAAATGTTCCTACTACTGTCTGTTACACCGAGCAGTCCAACCAAGTGTGTGGTGTGTACCTGCAAGTCCCAGTGCCTTACCTCTTGCCTTGGGTTCTTTTTTATTTTATTTCGAGACAGGGTTTCTCTGTGTAGCCCTGGCTGTTCTGGAACTCACTCTGTAGACCAGGCTGGCTTTGAACTCAGAGATTCCTCTACCTCTGCAGAGGCTAAAGGGATGCACTACCATACCCACTCTCAGTTTTGTTCATGTGTGAGGAACATCACACTGAAGGGAGCTAGCTAAGTATGAATAGGACTAAACAGTATCACCACCATCTTGGGGCAATCAACTGTACCCCTTTGCTGCCTGAAGAACATTCCAACTGGGCTTATTGACAGTTTGTATGCCCTCCACAGAGAGAGAAAGAGAGAGAAGACAGAGATATGAGGGTCTCACCTGATGTCTCTGGCTCCTTGCCACCTATTGTAGGTAAGTAAACAGCCTTAACATGGGGCTGTGGGATAAAGGCTTCTCAGGAACCACCCTTAAGTAACCTCTCTCCTATGATCTGTAAGGAGCATCTGTAAACGCCTTAGTTCCCCCAGCGTGAACTCCTGCCTCAGTTTGTCATTGGGATCTTAAGAAGGAATTTTAACAATACCCCCATAGAGGCAGCTCAGAGTAATAACCTCAGTACTCCTGTGAGGAAGGAAGTGCAGCCAGGACAATCCCAGAAAGCCTGGGGGCCTCCCAACCAGGCATACAAAGTGAAACATGAAATCCGCACTTGAGCTATGGTACACATGCACCCATACTCACGTGCAAACACAAGCATGATCATACAAAATTAATACTTTATAATGAAAAAACTCAGCCGGGCGGTGGTGGCACACTCCTTTAATCCCAGCACTTGGGAGGCAGAGACAGGCGGATTTCTGAGTTCGAGGCCAGCCTGGTCTACAGAGTGAGTTCCAGGACAGCCAGGACTACACAGAGAAACCCTGTCTCGAAAAACCAAACCAAATAAATTAAAACTAGCTATTAAAAAAAAAAAAGAAAGAAAGAAAAGAAAAAACTCAGGCTGGAGAGATCACTCAGTGGTTTAGACCACATGCTGCTCTACAGAGGCCCAAGTCTGCCTCCTGGCACCCGTGTTAAGACAGCTCACAGCTGCTTGTAACCCCGTAGCAGGGGAACCCTCTAGCCTGTAGGCACCTGCTCTCACATGCACACATCACACACATCAAAGTCATCTTTTCAAAGATACTTAACTCTTGATGGGCCTGGCCACGTAGCTCAGTTGGTTAGAGTATTTGTCCACTATGTGTAAGGCCTGGGCTTGAGCCTCATGTCATAAAATGAGGCATGGTAGTACATGCCTATAGCCCCAGCATTCTCAGTGGAAGCAGGATAAACTCAAGGTCAACCTTGGTCATGTGGGCTGTATGTGACTTGGTGTCAAAAAGGGGGGAGGGAAGCTGAGGATATACACTTGTATAGCATATTCAAGGCCTAGGCTCAATCCCAGTAGGGGTGAGGGTGGGGGTGAGGGGGATGACACTAAAGCCAAATCCATAAACTAAGTACCTGCATTCAACATCTAGCTTCTTAGCTGGCATGGTAGCTCAACCCAGCACTCAGAAGGCAGAGGCAGGAGAGGGCTGAGGCCAACTCCTACATCTGCAGGCAAGCTCTCCAAGTCAGTAATTAGAAAACCAAACACTCCCACGAACTAAGCTTAGTGTTGGTAAATCTCTCTTTGGCAAGTGTATATGCCCTGCACATACCACACGATAACCTTGAGGTTACTGAAGCATCACAGAGATGGTCATCATTGGCTGAAGGGAACAGTGAGAGCTTCAGGAGCCTTGAGAGACAAAGAACAGTCTGCTGAGGAGAATCACAAGGAGGATGGGGCTGGGTAGACTAGAGAGGCTGGAGTTCTCAGCACTTGACCTTAGCCAAAGGCAAGGAGCACTGGACAGCTGAAATTGAAGCCACCAGACAACTGCTGTGCTTACAAACATTTTGTGCAAGACGTCTGATAGATTCCAGAATAAGTTAGGATCATGGGTAGCTCCTGAGGAAAAGCATGGGGACTAGTCAGTGCCTAACCAGACCTGGAGTTAAGAAAGTTACAAGAAGCCCTGTGTGGTAGCACATGCTTTATTAAACCCAGCACTCAGGAGCCAGGGTCAGGTGGATTGCTTTGAGTTTGAGGCCAGTCTGGTTTACATAGCAAGTTCCAGTCCAGCCATAGCTACACAGAAGAACACTGCCTGCTCTTCCAGAGGACCCAAAATTGATTTCTAGCACTCACTTTGGTCAGTTTACAACAACCTGCAACTCCAGTTCCAAGGGATCTTCAAGTCTCTTCTGGCACCTGTGCACAGTGTGCATCAGTGCATACAGGTAGATGTACACGTGGGTACAAAGAAAGTAAATCAGAGTTTTAAAAAATGTTTAATCTTGATTTTTTTATGTGAATGGGTGAGTTTTACCTTGCATGTGTGTCTGTATTCCACATGTATGTGCATGCAGTATCCATGGAGACCAGAAGAAGGTGTCAGATCCCCTGGGACTGGAGTAACAGACTCATCCGGGTCCTCTGGAAGAGCAGGCAGAGCTCTTAACTGCTGAGCAGTTTCGCTAGCCTCTTTTAAGAAAAGAAAATTTTAGGGAAAGTTATAGTAAAGAAAGGTGATGTTGGAGAGAAGACCCACCAGTACTGTGATGGTTGGTACTGTCAACTTGACAGGACTTAGAATCACTTAAGACACAAGCTTCTGGGCAGGCCTGTGAGGGAGCTTCTGGATTGGGTTATTTGAGGTAGAAAGACCCACGCTAAATGTGGGTGGCATCATTCCATGGGCTAAGGTCCCAGACTGAATAAAAAGGCTTGGTGGCAAGCGCCTTTATTGGCTGAGCCAACTAGTTGGACTGCTTTAGACATCTAAAGTCATCTAAAATTGCATTTAAGAAACTAAAGGTGGAGCTTGAGAGATGGCTCAGCAGTTAAGAGTGTATTTACTGCTCTTGCAGAGGATCCCAGGTTTGATTCCCAGCACCTACATGATAACTGTTGGTTAACTCCAGTTGTAGGAAGTCCAGGATGTGACACCTTCTTCTGTCCTCTGCACCAGGTATACACATGGTATACAGATGCATGCAAGCAAAACACTCATACACCTAAAATAAAAATAAATCTTTAAAAATGTTTTAAAATCAGAAATAGGCTGGAGAGATTGCTCAGTGGTTAAGAGCACTGGCTGTATTCCAGAGGACTCAGGTTCAATTCCCAGCACCTACATGACAACTCATAACCACCTGTAACCCTAGTTCCAGGGGATCTGATGCCCTTTACTGGCTTCTGTAGGCATGCATGTGGTACACAGACATACAAGCACACAAAACACAACTATGCATAAAAGCAAGTGGCATTTTAAAAAGTCAGAAAGGAACAAAACATTGGAATAAGTATATCAGTGTCTGACTTCTCAGGCCCCCTCTCTTGGGGTCACCTGGCTTCCATTAATGCCCTGCCCAAGTCACTGCTCCTCTGAAGACAATTTCTACCTCCAGCTTCCACACCCAGTTCCCTCCCTGACCCCCCCCCCCCAAGAAGCCTCACTATAGTCCAGTCTGTCCTCTAATTCATGGCAATCCTACTGCCTCAACTCAGGAGAGTAACTAGATCACACATCTATGTCACTAAATCTGGCTTTGAGTATATACCCTGGTTTCTTTCTTCTTTCTTATCTTTTCTTTACTGAGATAGGATCTTATGTTTCCCAGGCTAGCCTTAAAATCAGTGCCTAGCATTATCCTGAACTTCTGATCCTCCTGGGTCTACCCACAGCCCTCTTGGTGTGGGGATTACAACCGCTGCATCTGTTAACCCAGAACTAGGGATCAAACGCAGAGTTTAGGCTGGGCAAGCAGTCTGTCTGAGCTTCGTCCCACCTATACAATCTTAAACTTAAGGAGTCAACAGCTCTAAAGTGTCATCTACTGGGTCAAATGACAGTGACTCACACCTGTGTGCTCCAAAGCTTGGGGTGGCAGCATTAAGACGCAACAAACTTGAGTAATAAATAGTTCAAGCCCTTGTGACTTTGCCCTGAAGAACCCAAGATGCCGAACAGCTTTTGAAGCTCTCTTGATTGTAGAACCTTTTGAGTCTCAGGTCCCCAAAGCCTTAGACACCTGCTGGCTCCAGCCTGCTGAGGCCCTGCTTTCCCCATAATCTCCTAGGATGCCTCTGAGAAATTAGCTCAAAGATCCCCGAGGATGAGGCTCCTGCCATATCCTGCTCTTCCTAATAACAAAGTGGGCTGATATTGTGACATTTAAAGACTACCTATTAGAAGTGGAGACACACACTTGTAATCCCAGCTCAGGAGATGGATGGAGGTAGGAGAATCAGAAGTTCAGTACAAGCCTGGGATACATGAGACCCTGAAAGAAAAAAGCAGAAACTCTGCCGAGCAGATTTTTTAATTGAACTTAAAGGACGTTTGTTTGTCTTTCCATTTTTAGCAATAATGTCTGCAACCATGCCTTAATTTATTATCCACTACTATAATCTGCCAACAGAAAGTTTTCATGAGTAATAAGGGATTGCCTCTTTGGTGGTGGCCTATGTTATTTTGAGCAAATAACCATGTCCTACAGAACACTTAATTGTGGGGCTTTTGGAGATGGTGAAAGGAAGCTATGTTGTCCAGGCTTGCCTTGGATTCACAATGTTCCTGACTCAGACTCAGAGGGAGTGAGATAACAGTGGCCCACCACACACCTACCTAACCTTCTTGATTTAAGCCTATGTATTTACAAGCCTTACAAATCTGTTATCGTGTGTTCTTTCTATTCCTTAGAAAAGAAATTGAGACCCAAGTACAGTGGCCCACATTTTTGATCCCAGCATGTGGGAAGGCAGATATCTGAGTTGGAGGTCAGCCTGTTCTACAAAGTGAGTTCCAGG